GCCCATTGGACAACTTCCTCGCTTCTAGACCATTCCATTCCTTCCTCTCAACATGCTTCACGCTCATACGTCATCCCCGAAATATCCTCGCTTCCTTATCGTCTTCATCCGTTTCTTCTTCTCGTTTCTTTCTAATTTATCTCAATCTCCCAACCAAACTCATCTCCGTAAATATCGACCAACTCCCCAACTCTCCACCTCTTCCTCTACCTTTCCCACACGCACACACGCTACAACCCCACCCGTTCTCGCACGTAGTCTCGCCATCCTCCGTCCCCTCCCCTCACTTTCGCCACCCGTCCTCCGCGCCCCCACTCGCGCCCGCGCCAGCTCTTTATGCCCGGCGCGGAAGTAAAAATACGATGCTACTGCCCGCGCCACCGGTGCCGCCGCGGCGGGGAGGGGGGGGGGAGGGGAGAGGGTGCAGACACGGTCTCCTCCTCGGCGACCGCCGCGCACGACAGGGGTAGCCCTCGCGGAGGCTTCGTGCCTTGCCTCGTTGCTGAGGATAGGGTTTTTGTGGGGGAGGGAAGAGAATGTTTTGTTTTTAGGGGTGGGGAGGTTGGAGAGAATAGTTTTTATTGAAGTGAAGGTAGAGAGGATAGATTTTGGGAGGGAGGTTGAAGAGTATAGTTTTGGGGGAGGTTGGAAAGGAATTATATGTGTGTGTGGGGGAGGGGGGGGTCGATGAGGATAGTTTTCTTGACGGGGAGGAAGTTTGGTGAGGATAGATGCTGGGGAAAAGGAAAGGTTGGTGAGGATAGTATTTGCGGGAGAGAGACGTTTGTATAGGAACTTTTTCGTGGTTCAGATTATAATATTGGGATAGAACATTTTTGTAATACGTATGGTACAGTCAAGAGTTATCCTGTGTACAGTACACAATACGAGATATCCTGTGAACTGTTTTCGATACGAAGTATCCGTTGTACGGTATTCGGTACGAGGTATCATGTGAAGGGCACGATTCGAAGTATTCCGTGTACGGTACACGGTACGAGATATCCTGTGAATGGTATATAGTACGGTGCGAGGACATGCTACAGACAAGTTTTCGTTTTATTCATGATGATTTATTGGTTTTCGAAATTGTTTCCGACGTTTTGATCCGTGCACATTCCGGAGAACTAGTGGTTTATTTAGGTCATTATGGATTAGATAATATCTTCTGACCCCCTCATTTAAAGAGATTCTGGAGAATATCGTTCGTTTCACTCGAGTTATGTCACAGTAAAAACCCCTCCCACGTTTAGGTGGTTATTTCCACTCAACGCCCCAATGCTGTATTGTGCTGGCCTGGGCTTATGGGGTAATCTCCCCCGCTGGTCACTCCGCCATCTGCCTTCCCACAGCCGAGGAAGCACTTATCTCCTTCCTTTTCTCGGTCACTTCGACCCAGGTCACCGCAAACCTGCCTCGGGTGTTGTATGAAGTTTTGTAGAACGATCGCCTCCACTGCCTGTGGCTCCATCATCAGCGCTCCTGTGATATCTCCGTTCGTCTTTTCGATGCCATTTGGACCCACCGCGCCGAAAAGCCGCTTCGTACTGGAGCGGAGGCCTATGGGTGGCGATCTCTACCTAAATTATGAACTATGAGGCGATAGGATGAAAATGAGGGGTGAAGGGACAATCACAAATACGACCACGCATTTGCAGGTCCCGAACCTGCAGCCTCCTCGGCACAGATACCGGCGGATAGGATTTTATAATTAAAAAAAAATTGGGGGGCGAAACTTATGATTTGTTCAGGTTGCAATATTGTATTAGATAGATGTTTTTGGTTATGCGTACAAAACTCCGGTCACTCCGCCATCTGCTCTCCGCACAGCCAGCGGGACGTTTTTTCCCTCCCCCTTCCCTCTCTTCCGGGGTCATTTGGACCCAGCGCGCCGTCGCAGACGGACCGCGCGTTAAAAGAGCCGGCGCGAGCGAGAGACGGAAACGGGCGGCGCGAGAGAGCCCGGAAGGAAAAACGCAGTTTAAGTGTCCATTTGCGACCGCCCGTTGCGTTGCTGTCCCCGCCCGCCACCACCGCCGCCGCCGTCGACAGCACTTGCCACTCGGCTGGGGCAGCGGGGGACGGTCGCGAGGGTGGGGGCGGGGCAGAGAGGTCAGTATGGCGGCGGTGGGGGAAAGGAACGAAAAAAAAATATAAGGGTAGGTTGACCGCGAGTATTTTACACGACGCCCAACTTATTCTCTCGCCTCGGGATAATGGAGAGGTATAACATACTATAAGAGATTGCAAAGCGGAAAACATCGATTATTTACTGCTCTTGACGTCGTTTTCAACGAGTAAGTAACATACAAACAACTTTTCACGACTGTGATCTAACCTAAGTGTGTGGAGTTCTTGCAATTTTTTTGCGAGCGTTATCTAGGTTTATAACATTGTTTACTCTGACTTATGTACTATTATTTGACGTAATAGTATTCAATTTTACATACCCGCGACAATCTGGTTCAATTTCTAACGAATAAACACAAAAATAAGAATATTAAAATATCTCTAATATTGGAAAAAGGAAACGCAACTTCAGCTATACCGACCATTTTCATTGACAGAATTCTTTTACGTATGATGAAACATTGGATGAAAGGCTGGGATTATTTTATAACATCTTGAACGAGGAAAGAAGGGAGGAAGGATGGAAAGGAGAGAGGGAGGAAGGGAAAAGAGAAGGGAGGAAGGAAGGGAGGGCAGAAGCAAGGCAAGTAGGAAGGATGGGCTGTTAGGGAGAAATGATGGGTGGAAGGAAGGGAAGAAGAAAATACGGGAAGGAGGGAAGAAGGAAGGTAGGGAGGAAATATTGTCGGCAGGTTGGGAGGGAGAGGAAACCTGGGAGGGAGGAATGAAGGAAGGATGGGAGGATGGGAGAGAATAAGGATGAATGGAAAGTAGGAAGGAAGGGAGGAAAGGAGGAAGGAAGGGTGGGAAGAAGGAGAGATGGGAGAAGCGGGGGTTGGAAAAGGAAGGGACTGAGGAAGCAATGGACGTAGAAAGGATGAGTTGTTTGGGAGAAATGATGGGAGGGAGAAAGAATGGAAGAGAAGAAGGACGAATGGGGAGGAAGGGGGAAGCGGTGGGGTGGCAAAGGACGGGAGAGGGCGAGCCGATCTGCATGCCGGCGGCCGCGGGGCGACGCGACGAAACACGCGGGTCGTTTTATGCCGTACTTAAATGCAGCGGCTAAAGCAGCTCTCAATAGAACGGTCGTTTTGGGTGTTGTCGCGTTCCCCTCTTTGAGTGCTTAAATGGAACGGTCATTTCAGTGTTTTAGCGTCTCCCGGCGCCATTTTGCTCTGCTCGGATGATTGATTATTTCGCGTGTCCGGGCGCGTCAACTGATAAATAAATAAAATAAATAAATTTATTTTTACTGCAAATGCGCATAACCTGGTGGCACATAATTACATAAATAATACAGCTAACATGCTAAATATATAATAATAATTAAAATAACATTAATAATAAAAATAATAAGGAAATAAAAACTGTCTAATTCATAAAACATTAAATTACCTTAAAAAACAGAAAAATCCATAATCTAACTCCGCACTGAATATATTTTCAACTGTACTTTACTTCATTTCACTTCACTCATGATGTGGTCATTAGCCCCGTAAGTGTCCTTCGTGTTTTTTATCACGGAAGGTGGCGGTGAACTTTCCCTTTTTGGATGATGACATCCAGTGCTACACCTGCACGTCGACTTGCGGGGTTTCCCTCATCCAGGTATTTCTCGCCAAAGGGGATCAGGATGTATTAATAATAAAATTACATTATTTTGATATCTCAATAGTGAAGCATAAGGGATTTTTCTACTATTCGACTTCGCTTTGAGTACTGAATTTCTTGTTAATACGAACGCTAAAACGGAAGGATTCAGGATAACGTGGTAGGGAGGTTTCCGTTGTTAAGAAGTGGAGTTGTACCCATAGGTTACGAGTATTTATAAAAAAAATATTTGTTATACGTGAAGATTTAAAAACCCATTTCTGCGGCTAGTTTTATATGTTAACCCTGACTACGGTCAGCATCCGATATTCGAAAAGATGAAATCCGCCGACTTACGTTGGAAACTGGAAAGACTTCGACCGGGGGCGGCGGGGTGGAGAGGGGGAAGGAGGGGCATAATCCAGAAAAACGACGGCGCGACCGTCTTCTGTTTTCGAAGAAGTCGATGCGCGGTTGTTAGCCACGCCGGGAAAAACAAGCGAGGGCGACTCGGAAACTGTAGCTGGGGAGGAAACTATATCTGCCGGCCGGGTAATGGAAGGGGACGACCCGGGGGAGTAGGGAAGGAGGGAAAAGCGTGGGAGGTGGTGGGAATGGGGTGGTCGAGGTGGTTCGGAAACGAGTTGATGGATGACGAAAGTAGATAGATGGTGGTTCAGGAAAGTAGATAGGTAGATCGATCGGTATACGGTTATCTATAATTGGGCGTACGCCGCTTAGAGTGAGAATACCCAATGATTATAATATTAACAACTCGTGAACGGAGTAATCTAAATAACTAATCGCACTATTTTTGTAAGGAAATTAAACATTTCATGCACTAATCGCTCTCGTAACTGTAATATTTTATGTCTAAACTGCGAAGGTGGTCACGTAAGACGGTAGATTTAGATTTTGGGAAGATATCAAGTGACTCTGTTAGCGGAAACCAACGGTGTGACTTTATCGGATATTTTTGAGAAAAGTGTGATATATTTCTTGTGTAGTTGCGTGTTGTAAATGTTCATGTGCGCGGATACTTACCGATTTGCAGATCTGAGCATTAAAAGTAATATCTGGCAATAATTGATTATATAAATCCGCGAAGACTTACGCTTTGACTTCACCTGATATTTTTGAGAAATTACCCATCTTGTGTCGTTGCGTGATGTAAGTGTTCATGTGCGTGGATGCTTGTGGTGTTGCGGAGGGTCGTCGGAACCTCCGTTTTGATTTTCGCTGATATTTTTGCGAAATGTGTGATCCGGAGTAGTTGCGTGATGTGCGTGCTCACGTGCCGTCGTCGCCCGTCTGTTGCAGAGCCGAGCCACTACGTGTGCGTGACGTGCAAGCAGCGCCTGCACTCGGCCTGGCGCCTGCTGCAGCACGCGCAGAACACGCACGGCCTGCGCATCTACGCCGTGGACGCGGCGTCCGCGTGCGGGGCGAGCGCGGGCGCGGGCAGCGGGAGCGGCGGGGCGCCGTCGCCGGGCGCCGGGGGCACGGGCGGGCGGCTGGGCGGGCCCGCCTCCACCACCGTCCCTCGGCGCCCCGGCCTCCGCCGCCGCCGTCGCCGCCTCCCACAGCAGCTCCTCCTCGGGCTGCTCGCTCACAGCGGCTCGTCCCGGCGTCCAGCTCCTCCTCCTCGTCGTCGTCCGGCAGATCGCCGGCTCGCCGTCGGGCTGGCGCTGCCGCCGCGCCGCCGCCCCCGCGGCCGGCCGCCTGTTGCCGCCGCCCCCGCCCCGGGCGCCACCACGACCCGCACGCGACCGCCGCCGCGCTGGCCAACCCGTTCGCCGTCGGCGGGCTGCTGCGGCTGCCGCGCACACGCCCTTCTCCGCCGGGTCGGCGTCGCCGCTCACCAACCACTGACGTCGCCGACGGCGTCGACGACGCCAGCGCGGTGGCGGCGGCGGCGGCCGCCGCGCTCTTCGCGCGCCCGTCCGCCCACCACGACACACTTCCGATGGAGCAACTCATGTCGAGCAGCTGCGGTTGACGTCGCACCACGGGCCGTTTGGGGCTGGCGGCGGCGGCGGTGGCGGCGGCCGCGGCGGCGTCCGGCACCAACCCAGCGGGGGCGTCGGCACGCCGTTCGCCCGCCCTCCGCGGGCGGCGCCGCCCGGGCGCCGTCCCGGGCGCCCCGCCCCCGCCCTCGCTCGCCCTCCCGCCTCGAGCCGCAGCTCGACTTCTACTCGCAGCGCCTGCGCCAGCTGCCGGCACCACCAGCCCCGGCGCGTCGCGGGGCGGCGCCGGCGCGGGGCGTCGAACGCCTCCAACGCCTCCACGTCCCCGTCCGGCCGGCCCGCTGCTCACCCCGCCCGTTCACCTCCCCCAGCGGCCTGCCGCCCGCCTCCGCCGCCTCCACGCCCACCGCCGCTCCTCTCAACTCCAGCGGCAGCAACAACCACAATCCAGCCGCAGCAGCTCCAGCCCCGGCGGGGCGCGGCCCGACCGCCTCAGCTCCCCGGAAGACGCAGCTCGCCGCTGTCGGACCCGGTGGGCGGGTCGCGGCGGCGGTGGCGGCCGCGGCGGCCGCCGCGCTCACGCCGCGCTCGGCGTCCACGCCCCCGCACGGCATGCTGCTCAAGGCGTCCGACCTGTCGGCCGGCGGCGACGCCGTCAAGGCGTGCGAGTTCTGCGGCAAGAAGTTCCGCTTCGAGAGCAACCTCATCGTGCACCGGCGCACCCACACGGGCGAGAAGCCCTACAAGTGCTCGGTGTGCAACCACGCGTGCTCGCAGAGCTCCAAGCTCAAGAGGCACATGAAGGTGCACCGGCGCGCGCAGCGGGCCAACGGCGACGCGCACGGCTCGCCGCGCGGGGACGACGCCGGCTCGCATACGGGCTCCGTGGAGACGCTCGACGAGGACGGGGACGACGAGGACGACGAGGACGACGACGATGACGACGACGACGAGGAGGAGGACGAGGAGGAGGAGGAGGAGATGGAGCTGGACGAGGAGGACGGCGAAGACGACGACGACGAGGACCTGGGCGGCGACGCCCCCGAGGACCTCACCACCAAATCCACGTCCTCGACCCCTCCCAACGGCAGCTCCAACGCGCACTCCAACACCGCCGACAACAACAACTCGGCCGCCAACAACAACAACAACAACCCCAACGCGAACAACAATAACAACAACAACAACGGGGACCCGTCGGGGAAGGGGGAACGCACCCCGCGCCCCACCCCGACGGCCACGCCGTTGGAGAAACTCGCCACGTCGGGGTCGCTGGTGGGCGAGCTCATGGACAAGTTCGGCCTGAGCAACATCCAGCAGTACAGCGAGGCGTACAAGCAGGCCCTGCAGGAGTCGGTGGTGGGCGCGCACCACCTGCACATCAAGGACGACCTGCACCGCTCGCCGCTCATCCCGGACAACAACAACGGCGGCAAGGCCACGCCGCCGTCCTCGCTGGCGAAGGCCGCGGCCGGGCTGGAGAACGGCGCCATGGAGAAGACGGCGGCGGCCATGCGCTTCCGGGAGGAGTTCGCCAAGAACCTCATGTCGGGCCAGCCGCCGCTCGACCTCATGTCCCCGCACGGGCTGTTCGGGGCGCCCGGCGCCGCCGCGGCCGCCGCCGCCGCCGCCGCGGCCTTCGACAACCCCTTCGACGCCGCGTCCAAGCGCCTCAAGCTCGACCTGGACGGCCACCACGCGGCGGTGGCGGCGGCGGCGGCGGCCGCGGGCCACGCCCCCAGGCACGAGCGGGACGCCCTCTACGCCGGGCTGTGGCTGCCCGCCATGGCCGCAGCGCACCACAGGTGAGCACGCGCGCACGGCAACTCTCGCTCCTCAGCACGGAATTTCCCGGCTTTCGCTTTTCATATTCAACTTACCTGAGGGTTTTTATTTTTTAGTATACCAGCATTGTAAACGACGGGTGTGTGATGACTCTCAGAGGGGAGGGGGAATACACGTAATTTTCCACATTCAACTTACCTGAGGTTTTTTGGTATACCAGCATTATAAGCGACGGATGTGTGATGACTCTCAGAACGGAGGGGGAATACACCCAATTTTTCATATTTCTCTTTCCGTAAACAACTTACCTGAGGGTTTTTAGTATACCAGCGTTATAAACGACGGATGTGTGATGACTCTCAGAGAGGAGTGGGAATACACGTAATTTTCCATATTGCTCTTTCCATATTCAACTTATGTGAGAGTTTTTTTGAATACCAGAATTATAAATGGCGGATGTGTGATGACGCAATTATTCGTGATATAAATGGCGCACACGTCATAATCTGTGCCCTAAGATGTCACTGCATGAACGATTTCTTGTACCGAGAAAGGTCGTTTGTAATGCTGGAATACAAGAGAAGTAGTTTATGCAATTATTTTTTAATGTTAAGTTTTGTTGCGTCAGTATTGTTTTGAAAACAAGGGACGTTAGAAGCGAGTTATCAAATTTGTACGAATGCGATAAAGCAACATCATAAACGATCACCCTTTTTTCTTCTCAATGTCTCCCTTTTCCTTCTCCATATTCTTCTTTCCAAGATATGCTTTTCCTAGAAATGTACTCATCTTCTATTCTGAACCTTTTTCTCACGTTCTTCACCATCTCATTTTTCTTCTTTTCCTCCTCCTCCTCCGTCTTTTGCATATTCTTTCGAAAATATAATATTTAAAAAATATAATAAATATTTTTATAATCTTTTATTCTGCTACAATGCCTTTTTACGCTTTTCTTCTCCCTCCTCCTCCATCGTCTTCTTTCCAATCTCTCTCAATATATATATATATATATACATATATATATATATATATATATATATATATATATATATATACACGCACGCCACACACAATATGCATACATATGCACACACACACAACACACACACACACTCTTGCTTTCTCCTCTTTTCTGCCCCAATCTTCTCCTGTTTCTTCTTCTTTCGTCCTCCGCGTGCTTCTCTGCAGCGTCTTCTCGTTCTGCCCAAGAGCGGAGCGTGAGCGCGCGGCGGGTCGCCACCACACCACCATCACCATCACCATCACCGCCACCTGCGCAGGTCCCGAACGACCACCACCTCTTCCCGAGCGCCGCCGACGTGGAGCTGCTGAGCGGCGGCGGCGCGCGGTGGCCGCAAGGACCCCAACGGCTTGCGGGGCGGCGGCGGTGGCGGAGGGCTCAAGCCGGCCCCCAGCCCGGCGTCGACGCTGGCGGCGGCGGCGGCCGCGGCGGCCGCGCTCAACCTCGGCCTGCCGCCCGGCGGCCCCGGCCAGGCGCCGCACCACCTCAAGAAGGAGACGCGCCGGAACGACACCTGCGAGTTCTGCGGCAAGGTCAGCGCTTCCACTCTGCCGTTCTTGCTTGCTTGCTTGCTTTATTGTAGTTACGTTGGGACGAATTGGGTCGTGGGTTCGAACTGGAACATCCCGAAATTTGTGGCAGTATCACATATAGATACATATTTTCATTGTCTTTTTATTTATTTATTTATTTATTTATTTATTTATTTATTTACTTAGTTACCTTACGCCATATCATGTGGTGGGTTCGAACTCGTACATCGCAAAATTTGTGGCAGTATTACATATAGATACATATTTTCTTTCAATTTTTATTTATTTATTTATTTATTTATTTATTATTTAGTTAGTTAGTTAGTTAGTTAGTTACTTTATGCCAAATCCTGTCGTGTGTTCGAACTCAATCATCGCCAAAAATCGTGGCAGTATCAGAAATATGCATTGGTTTCCTTTTTATTTATTTGACTCCAAAAACGGCTCGGTTTCCAATTCGAACAATGTGAAATCAGCGGTTTTTAATATATTTATTTGTTTAATTAATTAATTAATTAATTTATATTTACATATTTGACACCAAAACGTGTAGGGTTAGATCTTGGTGAATTCGAGATCTGCAACAATGTCAGTAGTTTATACGTGTATGTATTTACTTTTCATTTTTTATTATTTTTGATTGAGTTAATTAACACCAGTAGCAACTTTGATCGAATTCTGTTAAAGGGACAATTGAGAGTTACGGTGCTCTTTGTAGTCGAATTTTTATTTTAAACGACTTATCTCCTTATCGTTCCCTCTCTGAAGAGCTAAATTGTTCCTGGAATTTTGTTTTATTTAAAATGACTTCAAGAGCATTCAGTTAGACTTTTCGGAACTATCACTTGTCCAAACATTATGTACAAAGAGTTACACAAATCAGGTAACTCAGTTACGTGACTTTACTCGTGCAACTCAATCAGGGATGAATTAAAAAATTCTTGCCGCTTTTTGGCAACAAATTTGAAGATATTGCTTCAGTCTCACAGGACAGTAAAAGATCGCACACTCATAGTATTACATACGCCCCTTGACACACTTGGCGACCTTTACATGGTTCTGAAATATATTTGACACTAAAACACAACATATCTGTGCCATGGATGTGACCATGCAACCTTGGATGTGAATCGATTCTCACGGACGACATATCTCACGATATAAGAGGGCATTAAACGCATTCGACTCAATCGCAAGATTCAGTCATGCAACTTCGTTGTGCAATACGCATGCGACTACGTCTTGCAACCGCAATATGTGTGCGCGACTACACCACGCAACTGCAACGTGCATGCGACTAAAGCATGCAACTGCAATATGCATGCGACTGTGCCACGCAACTCCAATATGTATGCGACTAAGAGCTATGCCCTCTTCTTTTGCGCAACAGGTGTTCAAGAACTGCTCCAACCTGACGGTGCACCGGCGCTCGCACACGGGCGAGAAGCCCTACAAGTGCGAGCTGTGCTCGTACGCGTGCGCGCAGAGCTCCAAGCTCACGCGCCACATGAAGACGCACGGCCGGCTGGGCAAGGACGTGTACCGCTGCCGCTTTTGCGAGATGCCCTTCTCCGTGCCCTCCACGCTCGAGAAGCACATGCGCAAGTGCGTCGTCAACCAGAACAGCAAGGTGAGAGCAAGTGCCGGTCGCGTGCGACTGTTGCAAACTCGTGTCGCGTGCTAGTGTTGTATGCGATTGACGGTGGGGTTTGAGGTAGTTTTCGCCAACGTGGTGTTCGTAAGAAGGAAGACCGTATTAGGCTTGCTCTTGCGAGAACAAGAGCAAGTAATACAAGTCGAATAAAGAAATAAAAGTCGACTCGTATTGCATACTATTGTTACACAAAAGAGATGATGAGATTTGAATAATATTCACAATCACGTTGTCTATAATAGTATAAAATAACAAAATAACGTATCTGGTCAAATGTTAAATACTTGCTCAAATGTTTTCAATCATTAACTTTCTTGTCACAAATGATGATTTGTGCTATGTTCTTCAGTTACTGCATGTTGCATGTAAGTAAGGATCGGCTATAGATCGTTTTCGATATCATGATTTTTTAATAACATACTAGGATATGAGTTTTTAGGCCTCAATCAAATTGACCTTTAGGAAGAGTAGTCGATGCCAATACTTGGCACATTTTGTTGTAAAATTATTTATGGCGAATGATTCTCTCAATATCAATGAGCAATTTAGTTTCTTAATATTATTAATAAATGCATACACCTAGTAGACGTTTTTGGTTTCTAATGTTACAAAATTAATGAGCTCTAGCTAATTCGACATCGTATATGTCGAAAAAATCTTTGCCACTTTCAAATTCTAATCTTTCAATTATTCTAAAATATTAATTATTAATTTCCTTAATAATTTAATTTGTTAAAATGCTTTTTATATAATAACTTTTATTTTTATTTTGAATTACTTTTTTTGTTATTCAACATATCTTTTAAATTTTATTAGAAACCCTTTATTTAAAAAATATAACTCTTACATTTAATTTTTAATATAATTTTATATTTTTTTTAAATTAATTTTTAATTTTTATAGAAAATATACTTTCACTTCATCAATTTTAGTTACATTTCTTAATTTTTTAAAATTTGTTTTCAATTTTTTTAAAAATTTTATGTAAAAGTTTTTCGTTTACTTTTTAAATTTTAGTTAAATAAAAATATTTTACCCAACTTTTTTTTTTTTTATAAATTTTTCGGAAATAATCTCTTTTCCCTTTCAATTTGAATTTCATTTGTGAATGGTATGTGTTATTGGCTGGGCGGTGGCTAATGGCGCAATGCCGTGTGGTGTCTTCCCCAGTGGGTGCGCTTGCGCTGAGAGCGGCGTGTGGTTGGTCGGTCGCAGGTGGTGGGTGCCGGGGGCCTGCTGCTGCCGCCGGCGCTGCTCAAGGGCGAGGACACGGGCGACAGCAGTGCCTCCGCCTCCAAGGACGCCACATGACTCTTCCCTTGGGGAGGCTTTCGCCCGCTGCCGCTGCAGAGCATCTACTGAAGCACCAATCAGTAGCTGCAGCAACAGCAGCCGCCGCCGCCGCCGCCGCCGACCGCCAACGCCTCCCCGCCGAAACAATCGGAAAAACAAAACCGCAGAGCGAGCGGCGAAAAACAATAACAAACAAACAAATAAACAACGCCACGACCGTGCTGCCATGAGGGTGTAGTGCCATGTGGAGTGTGTACGGGACGTGATTGGTGCCGAAACACGAGAGGAAATCGACATTTCGTGTGTTTGTGGAGTGTAAGTGGAGTGATTCCTGCAGCGGTTTGGGCCGGTGCTGGGTGAGCGGATGTCTCGAGCTGGATGCTTTGAGTTGGAAAGTTCGAGATCGGGATCCTGCTATCGGTTTCGAGCTGGACGGCTCGAGATCGAATCTTGTGGGCCGGGTCGGGCTGGACGGGTCTGGCCAAGTTTTACCACCAGCATCCGTGCCGGTTCAGGTAGAGCAGCTGAGTGTAGGAAAGTGAACAGCACCGGGTTGTACGATCAAGGCCCGTTGGAAGTGTTGACACATCAACCACGAGTGCGGAGTATTGCGCATAGTATGGGGTGTTATGAGAAGCTCGCTTGTGCATCTGCATGGATCAAGAAAGTATGAAGAACAGTATTGTTGAGTTAATGTAACGTTGTATATCCGATGGTTCGAGCGTTTCACGAGTTTGATATTTGCAAATAGAGCAAGTAATGTCTAACTGTGACCGTCTGACCATCAACTTTGTTATTCAATAAGTATAGGATATACTCCGCAAGGCAGACCCATAACATTCTGTACTATGTAATATACACCGAACGATCCGTAAAATGTTTTCATAAATTGTTGCTCTGGAAGACTGTGTCGTCATCTCCACATGAACGAATCTCATTGTTACGCGACATGCCTACAACTTAGACTTAATTGTTATGGTGGTCGTGAGTAACAACCCAGTGGCTTTTTTAAATGCGAACTCGACTGTTAGCGGTATACGCAATATTATATCATTGATATTTTCTTTTTGTGTGATGCTTCATGATTTCATGATGTTGATTGTGACGGAAAATGGAAACAGATGTTGAATATATTTGAGTCTTGGGAGTAATGGATGTGTTCCTAAACTGTTGGAAAATCTCCATGGACTTGTAGCTCAAAGCTCAAAATTCGCTACAAAACTGCATCGTCGGCACCTCAGGAACAGTGATCTGAAAGTGCGCAAAAACAGATATGAGTTGATTACAGTCAAATTATTTGGAAGAAAATTTATTATTGCTATATGATTTTACTATTTTGTTTGATTTAGTTTTTTGTTTTGATGTGTGCATGTGCTGGTTTTTGAACGCTATATATTCCCAGCGACTGAACTATGTGCAAAGCTATTATACCAAAGCCTGTTTCAAGGGGATAGAACGAAAAATCAGTGAAAAGTTTAAACGCAAGAACCGGTGCGCAAGATTGAGACTTTTTTTGGCTTCTAAGTGTCGCCCAGCGACTGGCTTTAAAAAAATGCAAGCCTGTGGTTTTCAATTGTTTCTTCGTTTTTTGTTTTTGTGTATAGATAGTTGTCATGGGATGTGTGTAGGTTGTTCTGCTGATGAAAGATAAATATTATTATAATTATTATCCTTATGTTTACATTTATTAAAGATGGTAATGATTACAAAGACTGAAGGAGAGTAGAAAATAAGTTGTTCACTAATCAGACATGTGTGGTTTGTTTTAACTAAGACGAGTGATGGCAAGTGAAAATTCAATTGTAGAGAAGACTTAACATGGGGTTAGAGTATCCCCACCTCGCAAAACAAGATAGTGGTTTACTTTTGGTTCCAGTACTAACTATTAAATTTATCCAAGTGTTCCTAAGTCGCCATGTGTAGAAAGTCAGGCGAAAAATAGAGATTCAAAAAAAAGAAAAAATCGCAATGAAAAACTATAACCAGATTATAGATTAACCAACTGTCAATGAAGGAAACCCCTTTCTAAGAAGAGTTCATGTACTTGAATGTATCTTTTTTTAAAATTCTTTCATGACTTTGCCCTCAAAACCAATTTGTATTAATAGGGCACTTTCCTTGATCTATGATGTTGTTTGATCCTTCTGTACTCTCTTACCCAATGCACAACACTTCTGCATGCTTTTTAACAGCATGTCAACAATCACATTCCGAGATATCAGATTTCTTTGGTGTTCGTTAACACACCAAAACCAAAAAGATTCAGCAAGACTGGAAACATTCCTTTAACATTGTCTTTCAACTAGTAAGTGTTATCAAGGCCAACCTATCACAACAAAAGACAATATATTTATAACATATGACCATGATACACAAGCATTTGTACATCACCTTTCAGTAATAATCATGATGAGCTTTTGCAAGTCCCAACCCTAATCCTTCATCCCCTACATGGCATTGTCATCATAAAATGTGATCATCATGGCATTAATCCAAATTTTGTTATCCCTGCCCAGCATCCAAATGTGACTTGCGTCTCAATGTTGTCCTATCATTCGGGCCATTAATGAACTAACTGATAAAAAGTCATGCATTTTTCTGGTATAATTTGAATAAAGGTGAACACATTTCTTGGTCATAGTTAACTTTGTTGTGATTGTGATTGCAATGAAAAGTATTGGTGTCAAGTCTTTTTTTTTTTTTTTTTTTTTTTTTCTCCACTCTTTCCCTTTACCCTAGATGTCTGTTGACTGCTTTTTGTTGAGCAGGAAGAATCTAGTTGTCTCGAGAAAGATAATTTTTGGTAGCTTAGTGATTTGTCCACCTTTTCACAAATCATGTTAGGCATTGAAATGATTTTTTTTCATTGGTACATTCATTAACACCTGTAAATGTACATATATGGTTATTGTAGGAGGTACATGTTTTTATATACTAATTGGCTCTAATGGTTGAGCACTGAGTATCTTCATGCGTGTATGTATGTGTGTGTGTGTGTGTAATGACCATAGGCTCCACATGGTCAGACAACTGTGAGATCAGTCGACCACTCTCAATTGTTTTTTAATTGTCTAGTGAACCAAAGCTGAGTTCTCTTGGAGCTCATTGTATAAAAAATGTACAAAATCCTCTCCCCTTAACTGAAATACATGAGTCGGAAAGTAGATAGATTTTCTTTGTATAGCTGTTTAAGATGGAGAAATATGTTCATTATATTGTAACCGATATTCAAAAATGGATTATCCGGGAATTTTTGTAGGACATATGAGCAAATATAAAGTAAATGCAGATATTTCTCAACAAACTGTTTGAAGTGCAGAGTTTTACCCCAAAGGTACATAATATATGACAGGGTAAACCAACTGAAAAAATATTGTCTTGTAGTTTTGTGTGTTTGTGTAGGAAAGAACAGAATGGGAAACTAAAAAAAAAATCTAAATATGTATCAGTACACAAGATGTATCTCTGTGAAAGATGTAAGTGTCTAAATACCACTAGCGCTTACTATTTCAGGGTATAACTGTGGAAAACGTTTCAGGTTCATCTGACTACCACATCAAGTTTCCACTGCTGCGAGGAACAAAGTTTCTTCTAGAAATACAGACTCTCCTGAAAGTGACAGACCTTGTCATGAGAATTTACTAAGTCAAGCCAATGGCATTCCTCTCATGCAAAGAAAAGTTTCTTACCTTTGGGCGTGTCTGTTACCGCAGCGATGAAATCCTGATGTTAGTCTGAAACCTTGCTGAGTATCACTCAGAAACCTAACACATAACTTTATATCTTGTGCAGAAAGAAGTTCTTGTAGTGGATATCAGTTGTATCCCAACTCGTCGATATATATATAAGTAAATATACAGTAAATAGTTTATCCCGGTAAAAACCCCATGTTATATATTATACATACGTAACTTTCTTACATAACGGTAACTTGATAATTTAGTTATTGGTTTGTGTCATCTAATGGGAAAGCAATACTTATCTTCCAGATGCGAAAGATAATGGGCAAAGAATTGGTCTTGGTATTTGAAAAAAGAAGAAAGTTTAGAAGAGAAAGTAAGACTCATTCTTTTGTCCAGCTTAGCAGATTCGCAAAAAAGTCAGAGGTGTTATAAGTAAAGTTTTATTTCATTGTTGGTATTTCTTATATTGTTTTAGTCAACTTTTGGTTCCATGCTGTACAGTTGATACCGCTAAGGGGTTAAAATCCCTTGCACACATATTATGCACAGATTGTTTGATATAAGCTAATGTTTTCATTTTACTTGTGGCTGTTTTTCTTCGATACTTATGATAATAATAATTATTATTCATTAATGACTATAGGAGTTACTATTTATTATTTGTACAGTCTGTTCCAAATGTGGAGAAAAAGTAGATTTCGTGTATTTATCATGTGAGAGAAAGTAATTGTTTTTATTAAAAACAACCATTCTTTGAACTGAAAGATGAGTTTGTCATGTGTGTTTTTCTGACCTGGCCAATACCAAAAATTCCTCTCCAATGTTCATTAATTCCCGAAATGTCAATATATTTTGATATTCCAATTTTCATATGTTGAGGAAGATCATGGGACTTACTACTCATTAGTAGCATTAAGTTGGATAACATATTTCAAATTATTGAATCAATATTTGAAAAGAATTATATTATTAAAATAATAAAAAGACTCCTGTGTTATAACAGGTTGATAAAAGAAATTTCATTATATTCATTGTATTTGTGAATTATAAATCATGTATAATAACAGTAAAACAAACATCAATCAAAACTATTTAATTCAATAACTAGGAATAAAAAAAACCACAATAAAACATCTTTCAATTAAAATATTATTAACGTGAAAGACGTTCTTGGATACTTAATGTTTTACTACACAATGAAGGCTTTTTTTATAGGCTTACAAATTATGAAACAATAAATTTAACATGTCATATGAAGATAACATAAATGTGTTCTATTCTATCTTTTCATTCACAAAATAAATTATGGAGTTAGAGGCAGAGAGCAATTTCAGTTTCAATCCCTCCTATCAAGATTTTTGATAAATTTTATAAATTATATTAATTTTGAGAAACAAATTTAACATTCACAGCAATGTAAATATTCATATATTTGTATTTGATATCTTTAATTCCTTTTGTAAAATATTTAAGTTAATCACAAGCACATTGAATTGCATCTGAAAGGAGCATGCAGTACCAAAATCGGTTGTTCAAAAATTGTTTAACAACAGATTCATCATTACTGATCTTCATATTTTCTTCAATGCAACAAAGGATTAACTCAAAGGGGTCATTAGAACAGCACTACACACCATGATTAATCAAGCGCGGAAACGAAAAATCTTGTTCTCTTTGTTCTTGTCGCTACAAGAGAGCGCTGAAAGCGGTTTCTTTTGTCCACTTGAACGTTGAGTTTCTCTGTGAACTTCGCCGACAGTGCATCATTGCAATAAGTATTTCTATATTTTTGGGTGTTTGCGAAAGATTTTCATGTTCTGGAGTATTGGAGGTGAATGAATGTTATGCATTATTCTTACCTTCAATGCAATCATATTATTTATACGAATAACTTCAGTCTCAGGTAAGATAATTGATAACTTAGCTTAATTACTTCGTAATATACTTCATAAGATATTTTCTTTAGCATTGTCAGTTGCACGAACATTTAGTTATGTACCATTAATTACGTTTAGTTACTAAGATGGATAACTTTAAATAACTAATTAGGTACATTAATATCCAAACGCTTGAAAATTAGAATTTTTGTGCATGCCTTCTGTGTGTCGGATGTTTTGGAACAAACGTGTCATTGTAATAGTATAAGAAATACAAGATGGTTGTTTTACAGTGATTATGTTTTGTTAGTTTTTGTAGTTGTGTTAGTTTTCAAAAGGCCATTTCTTTAATGAGTAAGATTGTTCGTTTCCGTTACCAAGGTTCTGTAAATAATTGGGATAGCTGTCAAATATTGTATATGGAACAGTCTTGAAAGTAGTCTATTATTGTACTGTTTTTTAGCAAGAAATTTGTTCATTACAGAACGATTCTGTTGAAAGCGTTGTGAATAGTAATTTACATCGTAAGGCAAAGTCGATCTCTTCATGGCTGCAGAGGCAGAGGCGAGGAATTTTGTCGAGTCTTGAAAAGGATCTTTCGCCATGTGATGTACAATGTTTTATTCGAGATCATTTTTTTATGTATGTTTTCCTATAATTAAATATCACTGACTTGTAGTGTGATTATCACTTTAATCATTTGTTCTGTTAGCATGGCAACATACTTGTTTGTTCGTTGTTGTTTTCTTTAATGGTAAGGAGGATGACAGGTTCTATCGATGTATTGTATTGGACCTTGAAATGGAAGATCATGTGGAAGTGTTGTGGACTGTTAATATGATTCCATTAAAATCAAAAGATAGATATGTGAAATAATATAAGGAATTTTGTACGTGATGAGATGCGAGAGGGGTAAAAAGTGTCACAGAAAACGTTCTTCTTCCCATTGTTTATGTCAAACCTCTTAAAAGCTCTTTAATTAATGATCCCAATTAAAAATAATGTAAATAGTTCCAGATAAAATATTAATTGATAAGTGCATGTTTTTAATGTATTGGGAGCCAACACAATTTATTCTGGCATGGAACCTTTGCAGTGTAGCTTGCTGATAGTAATTTGTTTCATTGCTACTACATGAAGACTGTGTGGCTTGTGTTACGAGGAAAAGCGCTATTGGCGATGACAAACGAGTAATACAACAGGTTAACCAACACAAAGTCACGAACGTTTACTATAATGCAAGGCTTCTTGGTCCTTCGCGGGCAGCAGTTGCATGGGGATGGCAGTCAGGGAAAATTCATTACAGGACGCTTTCATCAGAATAGTTGTGTAATCAACACGTTTCTTGCGATAAAACAGCACAACAATGAGCTAGTTTCTAGACAGTGTCGAAAAAATGCGGTAGTGTAGTGCAGATGAGTGTATGTGTGTAAGTAAGGGGTGAAGAATGTACAATCAAGAGGAAGGAAAGATCGCGCGCGGTGCATGGCCCGTTTGTAAAGGTACTGCTCTGGCATTCGCTTATTGTTGATCGGAGAAACCAAGGAAATCTACCGATCAGAGCAGCCAGCCTCTAGAATTTTCCTCCACACACCGGCTGAATTCGATCTAGCTGACAAGCTAGTGTCGAAAACATCCTGCCGCCGTCGGGACTCGGACACTAGGACTTCCTGGTCAGAGGCAATGACATCAATTAATGCTCTGAGCCACCTTTAGCGGTTTGGGATGATAGGGCAGATGCGGTTTGTGATATGAGGAGACAATAACATTACAATCATATGGTGAACACAATTAGACGAGGTCATAGAGACGCACAAGTTAGCATAACTATTCTGTCGCTGTTTGTTTTGATTCTTAATACTGACTCCTTAGCATATGCAAATGTGGAGGATGCCACCAAATGTTTTTGGTTTAAAAACGGCGTAGGTTAGCATAACGTAGACACCATTATCTCTGTGAGCCGTAGTCCGCCCTTTCGTCTTTGTTTATATTAAATGAAGGTTAATAAGGTATTCTTTAAGAAATACACACTTGTTTATGTCGAACTGCTTTTGAGTTAAAGTGATCTTTTGAAACATAAAATAAAAAGTTCTGGAGATATAAAAAGAATCATTCCAAACCAATTTAGGAAAAGTGCCCCGCACGACGATAGTTATTGTGATGAAATTTTGTACGCCATGTCTCAAAGGAACATGTTTGATATTGTACGAGTAGCTTCACTACGCGCACGTTTTGTTGAAGTCTCCTCTTGCTTGTGGTGGTAGGAGTAGAGGTAAGGGCGAGTTGCTATTTTGTTAGCAATGCAGAAAAATCATACTTGCAATTCGTGTACCGATGCAAATAAGTTTTCTATAACTCGGGAACGAAAATGTCTAGTTTTTCAAATGATGCTAATCTCGCGCTTTTTTTAATTTTATTTTTATTTATTTATCTTCAACTTTTACTCATCTTTCAAGTATTTAAGTAAAAATGATGGGAAGGGATTACGGAACTCAATAAACAGTATCCCCCCCCCATACGTCACATGCAATTTTTACTGTTTTTTTACTAAATAAATCTAAATAGCTTTATAGAAGAACGAGATACTGTGTGTTTTTTAACCCCGTACTGGTTTGTTGTAAAGTATTTCCATTATCTACATTGAATATAGCTAAATAAATTTGTTCATGTAAGCTTAATTAAATTTGTTTAGCACTAACGGAGAAGGAAATATAATTTTTCAAATTTGCAAAAAATCAAATAGTCGTCCTGTACAATGGTGCTGCACGGAGTCAAATAAATCACTGTATTTAAAATAAAACTAGGCTGATTAAGTCGCTTCTCAAAAAATGCAATTAAATTAAATTCCAATCTGTCGGTCAATTTCTGATATGTCAGTTAAAAAAAAAATTAGTCTTTTTGTGTACGAATGGAAACATTTCTCAATAAATACGAAGCATTTCCAGATTGCCAACTTGGATTTAGAAAATAAAAATCTACGGAAGCAGCCCTATATTCTTTTCTTAAAGATATCGTTTCTTCAGTGACTCAAAATGAAGCACCAATTGGAATATTTTTTAAAAACTTTTAACAATATTGATCATAACAGTTTACTTTTAAAGATACCTTCCTATGGAATTTGTAACATTGCTGTTGTTTCATTGTTTTTGAACCTTATACAACGATTTCAGAGTATAAATTCCATATTGAAATTATTGAACATTATTTACTAACCTTCCCGATTCATTGGCGATTTAACATTGGACCCCATACGATTCTACTGTAAACCCCATTCTCTTCACACTATTCGAAAAAAAGTAAGTCCTCGTCGATTCGAAAAGGATAAAAAGTTCCCGTTTCTAATGCTACAAATGTTCTTTGCAATAAAGAAACAGTACCCTGTATAATATTATATTTCAAATTGGCTTCGTAATAAATTAATAGTAAACAAGGGGAAACTGTTTCAGTGCAGTTAATCATTTCAAGTAAACAAGGGTATATTCAGTTTAAAATGAAAGATGTGCAATTGATGTTTTTTTAAACAAATAATTTATTACCTGTCCAATTACATATAATTTTTCTGGAATTTGAAACAATTAACACAACATTGTTGAAAGATGCTAGAGCTTTAGTTTTTGTAAATTATGTATTTTCCAGTGTTAAAAATTAGCAAGGTAAATAAGTAAATAAAATAAAATAAAAGTTATTGAAATATGTTAAGGGTATAATAAAAGTTAGAATTGTTAAAGGTTAAGTTTAGAAGATATTAAATTAAGCCGAATAACCAATTACATTTAGGGAGGGTGAAAAATGTCTGAAAAAGGACTACCGAATACGAAAAGAAGAATAATTGTAGACCTAGTGTAAAGTGTTGAGATGCAGGAGAAAGTATTAATGTATCATAGTAATTAAC